CACACACACACACACACACACACACACACACACACACACACACACACGCAAACACACATGCGAACAAAGAGAACCACCGTTTCCACATATTTGTCTCTGCTTTTAAAGGGGGTTTTATTTAGCATAAATGTTGAAGCCAAGGGTGCCCGGCTACCATGGCAACCAAATTAAACGGAGGATCTCTTCAGAAAGCAGAAATCTAAATTATTCGGACTCTTTTATGAAGGGGAAAATGAAAATTCCCTTCACTGTACAGAGACTGTAAAGGCAAGAGAGTTGGGGGGGGGATAAAAAAGAGATGAGTAAAAATTCTATTGTTTTTCTTTTATTGTCTTTGTATATCTGGACCGTGCAGCTCAAAGCCGTCTCATGACAAGTCGTGTACGTTAACGCACAAAGGAGTGATGTAACCGCGGTGTCTCTAAAACTCCACATAAACCTTTTTGCCTTATTTTTATTTATTTTTTTGGTTTTTTTGAAAGGCGCCACAATATGTGTGGCTGCAAATCCATATGATGAAACCCATAAGCTGCGTGCACGGGATTAGGCGCCACTGTTTCTGGTGCGGGGTAAACGATTTTTGATCCTTGGGAAACAGGATTGAGGTTTAAGTGACACACCGTCTACATATAGGCCCGCGATGAAGCTTACACAAGTGACGGGCGGATTAATGGGGTGCATTCCCATTATTTGGTGCTGTTTTGGATACTAATTTAGAATATCTCACGCTTAGTCTGTAAATCCTCCGAGAGCAGGATGCTGTGTGTTGCGCGGTCGAGAGTGTGCTCAACTTTTCACGCACGTTTTTTCAGCGTTCTCGACTGCGCGTGTGTGTAAGCTCGCAGAATCAAGGAGGCAACAGCTTATTCCGTAACTCTGCTGCGACCGAAGGCGTTGTTACTGTACGACCACCGAGGAGGGCGGACATGTTCCATCTGTGGATGCACGTGTCCAAGGGGATGCTGGGAAAAAGGTGGTCAGTGGGGTTGGGGGGGGGGGGGGGTCATTCGGTCATCCAATGAACAGATGAGAGGAGGGAGATTGGGGTCAAATGTGACACTCTTTTCCCTCTCTCTCTCTCTCTCTTGCTTCCTCTCCCTCCCATTTGTCTGCTTTCTCCATATACGTGTGTGTGTGTGTTTGTTGTTGGCCCACAGCAGATCTATGTTATTGATTGACTCTTGTGGCTGCTGGGCTGCCCACTGAAGGAGGGGGCAGAGCTCTAATGAATTCCTGCACCTCATGCCCCCTTGCGCCAACCCCTACACCCCCTCCTTAATTAACTTTGTGTGCGCGCGCGGGGGTGCGCATGCGTGGATGCAGGCATGCGTGTGTGTGTGTGTGTGTGTGTGTGTGTGTATCTTCCTCCACAGCTTTCCGACACCCCCGCTTGTTACACTCCCCTGCATTTTTTTTCTCTCTTTCTCTTCATACCTCCTACTTTATCTCCTCTTTTTTTTATGTATCTTCCTCCTCTGCGAGTTGTTTCGACGGTCGCCGGTTACCTCGTGTGTACGTCACTCTTATCTGTCGCGCCACATCTCCTCCCACTGTCCTCGGTATCTCCCTCAAATCTCCACACCTTTCAGATCTATGCGCGTGCAACCGTGTGGGTGCAGTGTGTGTGTTTGCATCCATCTGATCCACGATCATTTATCTGTATACTGAGCATGAAAAATGACTGACATGGTGTGTGTGTGTGTGTGTGTGTGTGTATGTGAGTGTGTTAGAGAGAGACAGAGTGGTCAACATTGACCCAGCAGGCTGTGAAGAGGCTGTATGCCCATCGGTATTCCAGACGTGGAGGCAAACTACCATCTCTGTCACCTTGACTCCCCCTGCAGCAGATGAGCTCCGGGCTGGAAACACTTACAGCACTACACCTGACTGTATAGTTAAAATGGACGATGGGGCTATTCTGTTCTCTCGCTTCTCCCCATTTTTCGTTCCCTTTCTCCTTTATCGCCCCTCTGCTCGTCCTCACTTTGTTTATTCCCCTTTCAGCTGCCGTCTGTGGAACGGGACACATTCAGATGTCAGAAGGGCTTCTGTCCAGAAAAAAGCACAGCGCAACATAAACGATGCAACTCCGAAGTCTTGTGGTTGTGTTTGTTTTAGGTTTGGACAAGTTATACTTTTCAAAGTCTCGCAGCCTGGGATGTGTATTTTTGTCTTTGTTTGAGAGAGCAACCTGTCGTCATGTTAAACATCAATTAGGAGGCAGTGAAAGCGTGTTTTGCGCGTCTGAGCTGTCGTCGGCGGTGTGGTCTGACAGTCTTGTAGATCCGCAGTGGAACCACCGGCGACATGTCTGCCGCTGACAGCTTCTCCACACACTCGTGCTTTCAAGGACGCTGACGGCTAAACACACACACACACACACACACACACACACACACACACACACACACACACACCACTTCAGCGTCTCTCACTGTCTCTTTGTGATCTCCCTGAGTTTTTTGTGTTGACTGGTGATGATGAGGTATGTTATGGAGTCGAGGAGAGATGATTCAGAGCAGTGACGCGTTCGGTACCGAAAACACTGGGTGTAAACGATGACTCGGCTGAGAGGTTTGAAAGAATTGGTTTAATATGGTGTGTGTGTGTGTGTGTGTGTGTGTGTGCGCGTGTGGTTTCTTTTTGTGTGTGTGTATTTTTCCCTCACAAGCTGTTATCGCTGTCGGGTGAAACCCTTTAAATTGAAAAAAAAGTGACAACTATTCATGTTTCTTCATCCCCTTTTGAAAAGGGTTTCACAAATCCAAGAGTGGCAGGATGTTCAGCCTGTAAAGAACCGTGTAATCCCTCTAATTAAGTTAAAACAATGCTGTGTGAAATGTTTGGAGGCGCCGTCCCTCTCCACCTACTTGAATGCTTTAGTTTGTGCTGTGTATTTTCTTAAACGCTGGCTGCAGGAGAACAGAAGAGCCTCACCGATCTCCTGTCATCTCTTTCTCTTTTTTTTTTAAGGGGCAGACGTGACCGAACCCAACAGCTCAGACAGCCGTGGCGAGCGACTCGACTTCTTCCTCAAACAGGAGGAAGCCCTCGCCGCCGAGCCCAGCTACCTGGGCCCCGGCGAATCGGACGAAGCCGGGGGAGGAGTCGTGCGCGGGACGATCTCGTCCGTGGCCAATCTGAAGGCGGCGCTGATGAGCAAGAACAGCCTGCTGTCTCTGCGGGCCGAGATGATGGGAGACGATAACCCCTTGCTGTTCGAGTACCTGCCTAAAGGGGCTCACTCCCTGTCCTGTAAGTCCCTGTTTACACTGTAACACTCGCCGGTCCTCATACACACACACACACACACACACACATCATTATAACTGGTGAGTACCTGCTCATGTGGTCACCTGTGAGACATAAACACACACACAGGCTTTTTGACGCGAGTGTCCTCTTCCTCTGCAGAGTATTTTCCGACTGTCTTTGGATAATTTGTGAGTTTGTGTGTCAGTGATGACTCGTCAGCGGTGACTCAGCGAGAGAGAGAGAGAGAGAGAGAGAGAGAGAGAAAGAAAGAACATTTTGCTGGGATCATGAGAAAAATTTGTTTGGTTTTTTAATGTGACAGTTTTTTCTTTGTGCGTATCAGTGGGTACGCAGCTGTGTTTCACAGCAGCAGAATAACTCAGCAGAACTGCTCGGATGTCTACGATGTTTCAGCACCAACAAAAAAACAAAAAAACGATTAATCGAATCGCTTTACAAACATTTACATCCTGCTAGAAGCACCTGCAAAATAAGGGGTGTTTTCTTGAGATTGAATTAAAACTAAGAGGTGAAACAAAAAAAGCCAAGTGAGATGAAATAGATCACAACCATGAAATTCAACTTCTATGTTTTGAGATATTTTGAGTGTTCAGACTATAATGTGAATAGCTTGTGTGTGTGTTAAGCCTTCAACAACCTTCCTCTCTTTTTTGAATGTCCATGTACATCAACTAAGATCTTCCTCACAAAGACCCAACTTACTTTAGAATAAACCATTTTCTAAACCGCATTAATATTAGATTAATAAACGTCCTTATTTGTGGTAATTTGTCCACGTTAAGAGAGATTCTTTTTCCGTCCTTTCCTCCAGTGAGGGTGTTATACATTGTGTGGGTGTGTGTGAGTGTGTGTGAGCGTATATTTGCTTGAGTCCGCGTGGGCACATTTGTGTGTGTGTGTGTGTGTGTCTCTTTGCTTTTACTGGCTGGTAATTGGATCTTTTGTCCCGAGTTCTGCCCTTCTTTGTGAGCAGAAGAAAAAGCAAAGGAAGGGTACAACTCCAAGCCGAATCACGCCTTTTGAGTTGAGCCCCACTCACCTATAAAATAACCCCCCCCTCCCGAGACTGGATGAGCCGACACACGCGCTCGCATCACATGGCATCGCCCCCTTTTTTGTGTGCTGAGCGTTAAGTGTGTGGGATCGAGATGTTTCTGAAGATTCAGGATGCAGATCGACGGCCTCCCCGCGCTCCACAGGACAGAAGAGGCTTCTTTTTTAATCACACTTTTAATATATGAATAGGAGATTTGGAGAATTCGGAGAATGTTAATAATTTTGTCAGTGAAAAAAACACACGTCAAATAAGTTTTATAGCCGTGTTTTAGTTGTCACCAAAGAAACCTCAGGGAGGTTTTCTCGGTTAGCCGAGCCCTATTTTGAATTCACTGCACAATAGGGAGTTGGGAAAGATGGCCAGCGACCTCCCCCCTCCCTCCCCGGGTCTAAATGAGGACAGAAAATAAACAAACACTGTACCTCAGATTACTGGGCGGAGGATGAGTCTGCCTGGTTTGACAGATCGCCGCTCCCTCCCTCCCTCCTCCCCCTCCTCCTCCTGTTCTCCTTCACCCCTGCTTAACATCCTTCCTGTCCTTTTTTTTCCCTCCTCCTCCCCCCTCCTGTACTCCCCCTCGCGCCATCCCTCCCTCCATCCATTTCTCCTTCACCCCTCCTTAACACTCATCCCTCACACTCTCCCTCCCCTCCTCTCCTGCAGTTCCTCCTTACTCCTCTCCCTCCCGTCTCTCTTTTTCCCCCCTTTTACTTCGGCCGTGGAGCATCAAAGTGTGTTGGTGTTAAAAAATCCTGGGAAAGTATTGATCTAGGCAGAGAAGAGGTAGAGCAAGGTCACCTGGCCCAATTCAAGAGTGGATATCAGCAGAAGGCCTTCGACACAGAGCTTCTGTCTCCCTCTTCTTCTCTCCTCTCGTCGCCGTCCTCTGGACGGGTCACCGTCTACGTTCCCTCCCTTCGCGTGAGGAATGCCAACAGATAGTGGGACCATTCTGCATGTCAATCAGCCTCCTGAATCCAATTAGGCTCATTGGGATTTGGCCCCGATACCCCTTCAGTGCGTCAGACAATCAATGCCAGACAATGGATTGTGCCGGACACTCCCCCTGCGCACCTGTCCACTCCGCCACCGCGTACCGGGCCGCAAAGAACATCCAATTAACTACAGGGATCATACTGGCGTTATTGAACTTCTCCCTCTCGGCCCGCCTGCTCTCTGTCACTTCACATCTACTTTGGAAAATTGACTCCGTACAGCAGCTCCCGTAGTGGCTCCATCGCGGCTCTCTGGAGGTCCTTTTAGGATTATTTTATTCATGATTCATGAACTTTCAGATTGAAAATTTGGATCCTACTTAGCAAAACCATTCCCTTACTTTTCCTTTTCTTCTTTTTTTTTGTAAAAGCAAGAGGAAAGGAAGAACAGCACATGTAAACGTAGACATCTATGCAAGAGTAATGTCTTTCAATCCGGTGGTGAGATTCTCTCTGTGTTACAACACCCACACGATACGAAGTATAGTAGAAACATACAGCGTATACAGTGTACAGGGAGCCAAAAATACCAGGATGTCCTACTGCATGCGGTGAGATTTTGCTGTAGCCAGCAAGCTTTTCTGGCTATTCTGACCCACAATCCTTTGCACAGCGGATAAGCAAGGGGAGGTCAAAGGTGAAGGTGCAATGATGAAGTGGTATGTCCAGTTGAATGCAATCTGCATGCATTAGTGCGTACTACTGTCGGGGCAGCTGCAGCATTGGATTGGTGAATCCAATGAAAACAATAACTGAAATAAGTGAAACTGTCCAGAGGTTATTGCCAACAATGCGTCATTAAGCATTAAACTTCTCCTAACGGACTTAGCGAGTTTCAGTTGATTAGCTATTGGAAAGCGATCAGTCAGCTTACAGTAATTGCCTCCCTAAAGCCGAACCAGTCCTAATAGGCGCTGACCCCGCTCCGATTGGGATGCAGGTTGTGTTTTTTAGTTTGTCGCTCCGTGTTTAAGTAATCCAGTTACTCCACATTCGTGTGATTTTCACCTCTCTATCTCTTTTACTCGTGCTGCTGTGCAGTGAGTCAACCTGCTGTTATTTGTATTTCTTAGCAGCATGCCAGACACGACTGCAATATTAAACTCAGTGAGACGAGGTTGCATAAAAAAAGACAATAGAGGAATTCTTTACGTTGGAATTGAACCGAGTCGACGTAGTTATTCGTTTTTCTTAAGAAGTTGTTAATAAGCTGTTCCTTCTCACCTGCAGCTCATCTCGTTACTCTGCCTCCCTCTTAATGCTGTTTCTCCCGTCGCTGCCCGGAGGGGGGGGGAGGGAGGAAGGGAGAGGGAGGTAGGGAAGTGGAGATGGGGAGTCAAGCATTTGTGTGTGTTCTCAGTAAGTGGGAGTGGGGAGTGTCGGGCGCGGTAGTTTAACATTCCAGGAATCCGTCCACGGTCAAGCCTCATGGTTGTGTGATTCTGTCCGGTGTGCAGAGGAGGGCGATGAATGGCCAAAACCCACCGCATAACTCTGGAGACATTCCCCCCTGTCACCCACCTCACCCCACCCCCACCCCCCTCGCACATACTCGCATACACAACCCAGAATAACTACATTTCATATGTGCTATAAGAAAAAGAGATGCACTCTCAGTGATAGTAATGCAGCAGAACACAAACAAGAAGAAACAGCTTCTGTGTGAATAGTTATGAGGAGCTAAAGGCTCTGTAAGAAAATTTGAAATTCCTCATCCAGCGAGCCTCAACTGGTTGCCGGTGAACATCTTACATGGTCGATACGGTCGTCCTTTACCCTGTCTGTGCACAAAGTCTTCACTTGAGCTGCAAGATGGCTCCTCTCCAAAACAATCTCCCTCCACGCTACAGAAGATCCTCAAGCCCTCTCTCCTTATATTATGCATTTTACACATGCACACGCCCTCACAAAACACACACACACACACACACACACACACACACACATGCTGCCATCCTCAGCGCACGCATGTGGGTGGAAGGAGGAGGAGAGCAGAGGAGCGAACGAGCGAAAGCTGAGAGAGAAGAGAAGCCCTAACCCTTTCCCCTCGGCTGGTGGAAAGTGAAACTTCAGAGTTTTTTTATTTTTTCTTCTTCCTCCCCCTCTTCGTAGTGTTTGATAGCCCAGCCATGCGCCCCCGGGGAGCCCCCCCCCCCCCCCACACCCCCCACTGCCCACTCTCTCCCGTTGTGTTCTGGTGGCCAGCTGCTAGCAGAGTTGCAGTTGTACGTGAGTGGGTGGGTGAGACTCGTTTCCTCTGCTCCTCAGGGCTCCGCTCCAACAACTGCTGCAGCACGCTCCGGCCAGGGGCCACGGGGGCCACGGGGGCCACTATTCATAACAAACAAGGGGCTGGTTCCTCTCCTCCTCCTCCTCCTCTTCTTCTTCCTCTTCTTCCTCCTCAACTTCCACAATCACCACCACCACCGCCACCATCATCATCAGCACACTACCCGCCCGCTCCGCCCACGCCACTGCACCCCTCTGAGCCTCGGCCCCCCGAGGCCCCCGGTCTGCGGGCTGGGACGACCCGGCTGCGCTCAGAAGGGTCGGACATGGACGTGGAAGAGGCCCCCGAGGGCCCGGAGGCCTCCACCTTGCCTGAGGTAAGCGCACACAGAGCCTGGCTCAGCTCTAGGTCAGAGGCTGCTCTCCGGGTGCTGCTCCTCCAGTCAGATAAAAGTTTTGAAAGTGGGAGGAGATGGGGGGCGGGGGGGCAGCCTCTGCAAACATTGCAAACACACTACGGGGGGGGGGGGGGGGGGGGGGGGGG